GCCCCTACCTCATGTTTCCCACGAGTGCAAATGACAGGATTTACTGTAATCACAGTCTAATGTTTATCTTCCCTGGGGTCAGGAACCCTGTCTGCCTTGCTTTTTACTTATTCCAAGGGCCTAGGATAGAGCCTGTCAGACGTCTGCAGACATAGGGAAGACTAGACGTTAGGAAGGCTGTCCCTGTTTGAATGCCCCCTGATCTCAGGTTGAAATTTAATTGACAAGAGGTGATCAGGTCTTGAGGACTCTACCCCTGTGAATGGATAATAGCTGTTACTGCAGGAGTGAGTGAGTTTCTGATAAAAATATGAACGGAACCTGATTTTTCTGTCTTCCTTATGCTTGCCTGCCCTTCTGCCATATTATGATGAGGGCTTTTTTTTTTTTTTTTTTTTTTTTTTATGGGCAGATGCTGGCCATTGATCTTGGACTTCCCAGCCTTTACAAGCATGAGAAATAAATTTCTCTTCTTTCTAAATTTTCCAATCTCTGATGTTTGTTTAGACCAACCTAAAACAGTGGCTTCTATCAAAGAGATAAGAGATAAGTGCTGGTGAGGGTATGAAGAAAGGCAGTGGGTATAGCCACTATGGAAAAAAGTATGGAGGTAGCACAGGAGGATGGCAAGTTTGAGGCTAGCCTCAGCAATTTAACAAGGCCCTAAGCAGCTTCGTGAGACCCTGTCACAAAATAAAAAATAAAAATGTGGGGGCTGGGGATGTGGCTCAAGTGGTAGTGCGCTGGCCTGGCATGCACGAGGCACTGGGTTCGATCCTCAGCACCACATAAAGATAAATAAAGATATTGTATCCACCTAAAACAAAAGAATAAATATTTAAATAAATAAAAAAATAAAAATGTGGCTGGGGATGAGGCTCAATGGTAGAGCACCCCAGGATTCAAGTCCCAGTATTAAAAAAATAAATAAAAAGTGGGGCTGGGGCTAGGGCTCAGTAGTGGAGCACTTGCCTGGCTTGTGTGAGGCACTAGGTTCAATCCTCAGCACCACATAAAAATAAATAAAACAAAGTTATTGTGTCCATCTACAACTAAAATAAATAAATAATACATAAATAAATCCAACCTAATCAGACCTTGGTGGAAAGTGTAAGCCGAACAGAACATTTTTTTTAAAAGTATGAATATTTCTTAAAAAATTAAAGTACAATTATCACACAATCAGCAATCCTGCTTATGGATATAAACCCAAAGAAATGAAATCAATATCTTGAAGAGATATCTGTATCTCCATGTTCATTGCAATATTATTCACAACAGCCAAGGTACATTAATAACCTCAGTGTCCCTCAATGGATGAATGGACAAAGAAATTGTAGGGTATGTATGTGTGTGTGTGTGTGTTTGTGTGTGTGTGTGTCTATACATACAGCATGATACTATTCAGCCTTAAAAAGGAAAATCCTGTCATTTACAGCAAAGGATGAATCTGGAGGATGTTCTGTTAAGTGAAATAAGCCAGACACAGAAAGGCAAATAACAAATGATCTCACACATGGAATCTAAAGAGAATCAAACTCATAAAAGCAGGGAACAGTGGCTATCAGAAGCTTGTGAATGGGGGAAACGGGGAGATGTTGGTCAAAGGATATAAACTTCCAGTTGTAAGATGAACAAATTCTAGATATAGCCTCGGTGGTGATGGATATGTTAATTAATTTGACTGTGTTAATCATTATACATCATATGCATACTATAAAGTCATTACTTTGTACAGCCTGAGTACATTCAACCTGACAGTTAACTATTTTAAATAAAAAACATGTTCCTATGATTTATAAACATTCTTTAATTGTATGCATGACTTTAATAAAAAGATTATTTTAAATCTATTTTATGGATAATGTTGGGAAACACTATCGATTTCAAAGACCTCATGGGAAGATAAAAATCAAACATAACTTAAACATTTCATTTCCCAAGGAAGGCTAAGCTGTGTTTATTGTGATTCATCTTTAGAGGAGGAAAGATGAGCTGATGTAGGAGCAAAATGCAAGGGAAAAATTTTACCCGTAAGAATCGTTCCCTTAATGTTACACTTCAAAAGCTGACGTGATCCACGGGTGAAAATTCTAACTTGGGACTAAGCTTTGCAAACATCTCATCTCAAACACAAGGAGAACCATTTGCTTTTTTTTTTTTTTTTAAAGACAATTTTGACTCCTTTAAACTCAGATTTCTGGGTCTTAGAATTGAAAGTAAAAACAGAGCCTCATTACATGTGATGTTCTTCACATCTCTGTTCCAGGCTACATCAGTCTGAACCCATCAGCATTTAACACCCCCACCTCCTGGGGTTTCTAAGGTGCTGGCTTGCACCAGGAGTTGGCTCTAACAAAGCAATTTAATCACGACAGGGTTTGTCCTCCATTGCTTTCCACTCCTGCAAATAAACTGCTGCCATGCTGGGTGTGGTGGTACACACCTGTAATCCCAGCAGCTTGGGAGGCTAAGGCCAGAGGATGGCAAGTTTGAGGCCAGCCTCAGCAAGTTAGCAAGGCCTAAGCAATTTAGTGAGGCCCTGTCTCGAAGGACTGGGGACGTGGCTCAGTGGTTCCATCCCCAGTACCAAAATAAAAAATTTCTCAATCTCGCAGATGACAAATCTTGCAGATGACAAATCTCGCCCTCTGAAGCAGTACTGGGAAAGTTGAAGGTGGCCACGCAGAGTGAGGCACCAATAAAACATTACCTGTGGCTTTCTTTATGCTGTTTCGAGGCCGAGCAGGCGTGGGGTGGGGGGTCTTCGCAGGGTCTTTGGGGCCTTCTTGGCAGTTCGCTCCTCTAAAGCCAGGGCAGCATCTCCATTCCAACTGGGTCACCGTCTTGTATCTGACGACGTACCTGGGTCTGAAGTTCACCCGATACCTGCAGACAGAAAGGGCAGCACCTCTCTTTTAGTTCAGAGCGCTTCTGGCCCTCCCAGAGACAAAGCCATGTAAAGAGGATTCAGGGTCCAGCTGACTCCCCACGGGTCAGAAAGGCAGGGCCTTCCCACCCTAGGTACTGGCCTCCTCCCTGCAGCTCTTGAATTCAAGGCAAACAGAAAAACTCAGCCTGCAATTCCCATTTGATGTGGACAATTTTGGGCCCTAAACTGAGCTTTTGTTCACCAACAAACTTCTGTTTAAAATTCACAGCTTTGTGGGGATTTCTTTAGGTGAGACTCAGTATTGTTGTCTATTTTGTGTTTTAAGAAAAACATTCCGAGCCTGGCTCAGTGACACACACCTGTAATCCCAACAGCTTGGGAGGCTGAGGCAGGAGGATTGCGAGTTCAAAGCCAGCCTTAGCAAAAGCAGGGTGCTAAGCAACTCAGTGAGACCCTGTCTCTAAATAAAATATAAAACAGGGCTGGGGATGTGGCTCAGTGGTTGAGTTCCCCTGAGTTCAATCCCCAGTACCCACCCTCCCAAAAAAGAAAGAAAAACATCCCTGGGGGTACAACCAGAGATATGAAAAATTGTGCTCTATGTGTGTAATAGGAATTGTAATGCATTCTGCTGTCATACGTGACAAATTAGAATTTTTAAAAAAGAATGAGCTTTTGAAGTGGAGAAAAGGAGACTGGTCTTTGTTGGCAGAGAAAACAGATGTGCATAATCATAATGGTCCGAAACTGCAGCTCTGAAATTGGATGATCTGGATTCACAGTGTGTGTCTGTCTTTTTCTAGATTAAATACTTTAAGAAGCCTACCTACTTCTGTAAGCCTATTCTTTAAAATGAGAAATGCTACCACATGGGGTTACTACTGTACCAAGCAAATTGAATAATATGTGTGAAATGTATCAGGCTACCTACATGGAGAACACACATTAAAATTCATATTCATTTGTAATTCAGTATGATTATGCTTTCATTATTTAATAAACTAATTATTGAGAATTTTAAAAAAATTCCTGGCACCCCTATCCCCCATAAAACCCACATATTTCCCCTTTGCACCATCTATCCCAATCATGGCCAAGGAAGCAGCCGACTTCTAGCTTCTTATGTTTTCCCAAGATGCCCTGGGGCAATGCAGCAATCAGGAGGTGGAACTGAAAGCGAGTAAACTTGCCCCATGTTCAGTATACATTCCTGACACCCTGGGACGTCCCAGAGATGTTTCCAGTGAGTTGTCAAGTCCTCCAGACCCAGGGCTGGGCCTGGACCTAGAACAGATAGCCACAGCCCAGCAGCCCGTGGCGCACACTAGGGATGAAGCTCACAGATGCCTCTGCTCTCAGCAGACAGAAGCCATGGCCACACAGGACGGCCCTCCTTTGATTTACCCCAACTTGGACTTTCTGGCTTGGAACCATTCTCTCTTGAAAACCTTCACTTTCTCTGCGTTTCTCACCAGCAGCTGGCCCTGTCTTTGGGTCAGTTCCCAGAAAGAAACAGGTTTTGCGTCACTTCCTCAGGGCTGCTGCGTGCTGCTTGTGGGGGCCTTAGGATGACCAGCTGTGGGGGCTGCTGGGACCTGCAGGGCTCAGCCAGCCAAGTGAGTCCAGCCTTGGAGCTGGGGACTTCAAAATCATGTTCTTAACAAAACTACAAATTGTTAAATGCAATGGACCTTTGACATCTCCCCTGAGGGTCATAACCATGACAACTGAAGGTTCTTTCTTTTGGGGTACAGGGGATTGAACCCAGGGACGTTTTACCACTGACCTATATTCCTAGCTTTTTTTATTTTTTATTTTAAGACAGGCTCTTGCTTTGTTGCCCAGGCTGGCCTCAAACTTGTGATCCTCCTGCCTCAGTCTTCCCAGTAGCTGGGATTATAGGCATGTGTCACTGGGTCGGACTCAATTAAAGATCCTTCTTTTGGGTGTCGTGCTGGGGTTGGAACCCAGGGTTTTGAGCATGCTAGGCAAGCGCTCTACCACTGAGCAAAGCCCCAGCAAAACCATGACAATAAACCCTCCGTGTAAGGACCTACTCCACTGGACAGCGAGGCATCCCTGCAGAATCCCCAGGGCCCCACCAACAGGGTGGAACCTGCCAAGCCTTGAACCTTTTGGCTGTACCATTTCCATAGGTCTTTTAAGACTGTGGGTCTCAACCAAGGCCATCAAAATCACCCAAAGAACAGTGAAAAAATACCCATGCCTGGCTGTCCCCCTCGGAGATTCTGACAGAGTCTGGGTGGGGCCTTAGCATGTGGATTTTGAGAAGCTCCCAAGGGAGGCTTTTGGGAAGAAAAACTGGAAAGGAATCTCAATAAGTAAAAGGGAAATGCAAGGGGTGCTCATGGGAGGTGAGGTTAGGTTAGAAGGAGGGCAAAGGCCCCCCACTTTGAGGCTTTTCATTCTCTCCTTTCCCCTCCCCCCCCCGCCCCGCATCATGGCTCTATTACTTATATTGTCTCCTTTTCACTGGTGAAAAATCAGAGGCTCACAGGGGTTACATGACTTGTCTGAGTTCATTCCGAAAGTGGCAGGGCTGGAATTCAAGCCCCTGTCCCTCCCTGTGTACCCTGCCTGCCCTCAACAGGCAGAAGCACCTGTTCCCTCTGGCAATTGCCTTAAGTGTGCGGCAGCAGTCCCATCTGGAGATGTTCCCAAAGGCCCAACAACCTGGTGAGAAGATAGTCAACCTCCTCACTCAGCAGACTCATGCCTGAGCATCTAACTGGTCCAGGTACACACCAGCCCTGGCCCTGGTCCCCTCCCACCCCACCTACACAAAGGTTTTTGTTGTTGTTGATACTGGAAATTGAACTCAGGGAAGAATCTAACACTGAGCCACAGCCCAAGCCTGTTCTTTCTTTCTTTCCTTATTTATTTATTTATTTTTAATTTTGAGAGAGGGTCTGCTAAATTGCTGGGGCTGGCCTCGAACTTTCAAATCTCCTGCCTCAGCCTCCCAGGTCGCTGGGATTACAGGCGAACAGCGGCACCATGTCCGGCCTCTATACAGAGAATTCTTGAAAAAAAATAAAATAAAATTTAAAAAAAGAAAAGACAATTCCATTTCACAGTCTTGCATACTCAAGCCAAACATAATGCTGGAAAAATGTGTAATCTCAGAAAACCATTTTTCCTCTGAGCATTAAAGACGGAATGTGAACACGTGGTGGCTCTCGGGGCTTGTGCATCTGGAGGTGACAGTCCATAAGAAACCTTTTTGGCAAAGGTGGAGCCAGGCAGGGAACCAAACTGTGGAAGAGAGGCGCGGGGCCACCTCCCCACCACACCACACCCTGCCCTGGGGACCTGCCCCCTAACTGCACGCGCTGCAGGACAGGAAATCCCTGCTCTCCCAACCCACCTCATCACTTTGTTCAAAGGCAGTGATTTTGCAGCCAGTTCAAGGCTCAGGAACGTTCCCTGGAGTCCCCGCCCTCCTCCCACCCTGCACGATCGCCACGCCCAGCCTGCGGTCGGTTTCCAGGGTCCCGCTGGCACGTTCCTGACAGCTTCTCAAGCCCCGTGTGGGGAGGAGGCCGTCCTGGCTGGAAATGATCGACAGCTGGAAATGATCAGTAGGCCACCTCCATCCAGCCGTGGGAAAGCTCACCGAGGGATTTCACGGTGCCTAACGACCACACGGATCCCTGAGGTGGCTCTGGGCCCTGCTCCATGGCCTTCAGGCCTGAAGGGAGAAGTGGACCACAATATAGGGGTGTCCAGCCTCACAGCTCCATGGGGATTTTCCCAGAAGAAATCAGGTCTGAAGGTTCCCCAGAGGATGAGGAAGAATCGAATAGGAGTCCCAGGACCCCTCTCCATCACCCAGGGCACTACAGGAAAACATCCTGCCCTAGAAACTTTTATAAACTGTCAGGGACCCAGGTGTAGTGGTGCACACCTGTAATCCCAGCAACTCAGGAGGCTGAAGCAGGAGGATTGCCAATTCAAGGCCAGCCTCAGCAGCTTAGTGAGACCTTGTCTCAAAAAAATAAATGAATAAAATGGATTGGGGACATAGCTCAGTGGTCAAGAGTTCCTGGATTCAATCTCCAGTACTGCAAATAAACAAACAAATAAACCTACTTATCCTGTGGTCTAACTCAAAGCAGATATGAATTCTTAAGTCTCCCCAGAACCAAATCAAACTCCAGAATCCTGGGGTCATGAAGAACTGCACAGGAATCACACAGCGAATAGTAACTCAGAGCTGTGCTGTCCAATAAGGTGGCCATTAGCCACATGTGGCTATTTAAATGTACACTAATTAAAAACAAAATTAGTCAGACACGGTGGTGCACACCTGTAATCCCAGCAACTCAGGGCTAGTTCAGGGCTAGCCTCAGCAACTTAGCGAGATCCTGTCTCAAAATAAAAAAGTAAAAAGGGCTAGGGGTGTAGCTCAGTGGTAAAAGTTCCCCTCAGTTCAATCCCCAGTACAAAAATAATAATAATAATAATAATTAAATTAAATTGAAATTAAAAATTTAGTTCTTTGGTCACAATAGCCATATTTCAAGTACTTCAGAGCATGAACATTTCCATCATCATAGTAAATTCTCCAGGACAGAACTAACCTAGACATCCATGAGATGGTGTGTGAATCAGCCATATGCACACATCTATTCACCAACCCACACCAACCCATCCTCTTCTTCCTCCCACTAGAACATTTGCATAACATCGATTCCAGAACTACGTCTCTGAAGCAGAATGCTTCCCTGAAAATAGCCACACATCCCCAGCAAAGGAACATTTAGACAACTTTGCACAAGATAAAGGGTTTGCCCTGCATTTGGCATTTACCTGTATTTTATTTTCACACAGCCTTTTACTAAAGCTTTATCCAACCCGTGACCCTTTGGGGACATAGGCTAGACTGGGATTTCTTCCAAGAACAAACTTTCTAGTAACTCCTCTCTTTCCAATCACTGGCCAGCCCCAAACAACCTGGAGCCAACTCTGCTGG